GTCTTCTGACTTTTTAATCTATGGACAGGCAGGATCAGTTCCAGAAGTTGTACTGTTTCTCAGATAATTTGGAACAAATCAATAACAAATCAAGATATTTTCGGATTGAAACAAAAAACTGCAGTCTTGGTTCTGTAGTGGTAAAAGGGGGGTTGAAGGAGAGGGTTGCAAGATTTATTTGTACCTATTCTGAAAAGCATTTCAGATAGAATAAGTGGGAATTTTTCTTCACTTTTTGGTGTTTAAATATAATAGATGGGTGTATGTTCTTGATAAAACAATACAATACATAGATTCATCTTAAAACATTTTTCTGGCAAAGAAACTGCTGTATAAGAACAAGTCAGTTGTGAAATGTTATTCTTTAAGAATGTTTTCCTGAAACTATAATAGGTTTTTTGCCCCTCCCTCCCACCCCATTGGCTACTGAAATGGCTTCTTAGTAATGTTTTGTTACTCTGTTTTATTTCAACAATACTATATAGTAGTGTTGTTCCTAGTTTGATGAGAGAACAAAAACGCAAACATTTGTTAAACGAACAATTGCTTTTGATACTTGTCTTTAATAAAGTAATCTGTACTTTCTCTCAAGTTTATTATGTCATTAAAATAACATTTATTTTTCAAGGAAGTCATAGGCAGAAATAATCAAAATAAAAATTAGATTTTTTATTAGGACTATCTGAGGGGATGTAATTCAGTAAAAGTGTAGGCTTAACTAGTTTTTTGTCTTACTTAAATAACTAATTTGTTACAAGTAATAAAGAAAATATCCGATATTGTGTGCTTTAGTATTTTAATGAAGGGATTGAACTGTGGCATTCTTTTCAGTGTGTGACATTACTTTCCCATGATGCAAGGTAGTTAATAAATTTTGCAATGATTCTTGAGTTGGAGTGTGAAGAAAAAAGGGATAAATGGTTTTTCTCGCTGTTTCTCTGTTTCATCACTTAACCGGTCATGCTGCTAGTCCGCTGGCCGTCACCACTTTGGGGTTGGTTAGTCTGTCCGCGTTCATGTGCCAGGTGCCAAGTGCATAACCAAGGGATTTCATAGAATGCCTCTTTTGTTAAGTTGCCTTTTTCTAAAAAATTTTGCCCAAAAAGGTTCTTTGTTTTTTAAGTGGAATGGTCATTATTTTTATTAGTTCTTTTTATTGGAGGGTGGCATAAAGGAGGGACATTATAGAAGGAGGAAACAGAATGGTAGTGAATTGAGGGTAGGAAAATAGTACATGTGGGACTTTTTTCTTTTTCGTGAATATATTGATGGATCGAAGAAAACGTAATAGAAGTGTCAAAATTGTTAATGTATTTAACAAACTATGGCTGCGAAAACAATCATTTTGTTATATTTTGGCATGAACAATTGTTCTTTTATGGAGGCCATTAATCCTATTTTGGAATATCATGGGCATCTGAAGGCAGTAGTTAGCAGTTCCATAAAGCATTGAATACCATGATAACATCCAGTAACCCTCACAGCAGTATTTCAGAATCTCTGCCTGTTTAAATGCGCTGTGAATGTACTTGCTCAGGGATGCATGAGCCGCATCACCTATAAATTTGATTGGAAGCTACAGCACTGGCATAGGCTGATGGATAGCAGATTAGAGCCCTGATGCTGATGGATAGCAGATTAGAGCCCTGATTAACCATGTGATTCGAAGACTGGGAAATATATTGTCTAAGCAAGATTCATCAGATGCAATCAGAATTTCAAGTGGTCAGATGAAATTCAAATGTATGTTGTGGCTTTTCCTCCCCTGGTGCTTTTCCTCCTAGGTTGCCTTTTTTCCCCCTCTCTTTCCCCAAAGCTGAAAAATACTTCTTTGATGAATCTGCTCCTTACCCTAAAGCTGTCTGTCTGTTATTCATCAGAAAGCAGGTCGCAGTTCAGTGAGCAGAAGAAAAGATTTTAATAGAAGCTGTGCCAAGGGCTGTAATGCATCATTTTAGGGCCCTAATTACATTACAATGACAAATATCAGTGGTGACAACAGCAATAACCTACATCCTTTAATGGCTGTGCTGGAAAAGGAGTTTGGGCCCCAGCCATTAGATTAGACTCAGTTTCAAAACATAGGCCATTAGAAGTGTGTGTCCACAGTATTATTGGCTGATCGCTGAAGCCCAGTGGAAAGGCCTGTAAATAAATGATGCCTCCCTAAAGCTGGGTCCTGTGGGACAAAAGAGGCAAAATTAGATGCCCATGGAAGCAGCAGTGTTTCCGAGGCAACTTTAGCTTTCAAAGTGAGGAATGACCCGCTTAATTTTATGAAATCACACACACACACACACACACACATCCTACCCCCCTGCTGCCAATTAGCCTGACCAGGAAAATCCGTTGGCGTGACAACTTAAAGAAATTAAGAAGTCTTTTAGACAAAAGGAGACCTTTAAGGAAAAAGTTTGGAAGGTTTCTACCCCCTTTTTTTCTGTTATGTATGTATCTTAACATATATGAATCAATAAAACGACTTTTTGGCTTTTCTACATTTATTTTTAAGGAAATGTGGATTTTTTTTTTCATAGTTGCTCAGACTTAACATGGCCTAGGCCCCACATTAAAGGAGCCAAATAAGTACCTCTTGGTCTTTATTATGACAGATGAGTGAGTTTCCTTAGGGTAGTTTTTGTTGCCTGGGTTATGTAGGCAAACTAGAGAACTCAGTTTTCTTATGTGCCCACACATTTTTCAACCCTCCTAGCAAGGGACTATTTTATTTATGTAAACAACATAATGAGGAAAATATGCTTGGCAGATGGTTCTAAGCATTAGAATCATGAGTTTGGTTTGCCCCAAAGTATCTCATTATCTTTTATTCTCTCCCCCTCCACCTCTGCCTACAAAAAGCTTAACAACCAAATGCCTCTGAGACTAGTGCTTTCAGTCTGGTGCATGCTGCTCTATTTTCTCAGCTCACACTGGAATTTCACCCTGTAACCACTGTGGTATGTTCGGTCCAGGTGGAGAGTGGTTTGGTGATTCCCATTGCAGCTTTTCATGGTGGTTTAAGCATTCTTAAAGGATAGCTAAATGCTCCACGGGGCCAGGGCAGTAAATTAAATCAGGTCAGCACAGTTGGGTCCTTATTCACTGCTGCTTATTGGTACTGGGTTTTTGTCAACATCCTGTTAGGAATGCAGGCTGGAAGGGAAAGCTTAGGTTTGAAACTTCATGGTGAATTTGTGTTTTCTCTTGGCTGGCAAAGTTTTTAAGGTGCTGGTATTTAAAAGATTGCATAGCCACAAAGTCAGAAGGGTGGCTGATGAAAGAAGGAAACCTAGATTGCACAAGTGGAGTGTCGCTGTCATTCTGGTAATGACTTGGCAAGAAAAGGAGAATTTTTGTCCTCCTATAAAATGAGGAACTGACCCTGGATGGAATTTACATTAAGAATGTCTCAGGAATAGTAATTGCTTTATGTTTTCTGTCTCCCATTACTTCTTGCCTCTCCTTTTTCCCACTCCATCATTAAAAAATAAGCTGTTTTGATGGATGTTAACTAAACTTACTGCAGTAATCATTTCACAGTATATATGTAAGCTAAATCATTACGCTGTACACCTTAACCTTATAGAGTGCCATATGTCAATTATATCTCAATAAAACTGGAAAAAAGTTTTTTTGTGTATATGCATGTAAAAACCCTGTTGTCTACATGTCACGTACTAAAGTATATAAGGAGCCATCTGATGATGTAAATTAAGGTGAAGATCAGTGAAGTTCTGGGTAGCTTTTTTTTTTTTTTTTTTTTCCCCGCGGTACGCGGGCCTCTCACTGTTGTGGCCTCTCCCGTTGCGGAGCGCAGGCTCAGCGGCCATGTCTCACGGGCCCAGCCACTCCGCGGCATGTGGGATCTTCCCGGACCGGGGCACGAACCCGTGTCCCCTGCATTGGCAGGCGGACTCTCAACCACTGCACCACCAGGGAAGCCCCTGGGTAGCTTTTTAAAGAAGACATAGTGGTGGCGTTTCTTTTTTTCTTTTTTTTTTTTTTTTAACTTACTGTAGAATCCTATTTGTCTAAAATTTGAACACTTACCAAATTAATAGAGAATAAGCTCTATTATCTGACATTGGGACTTTTGCAGATCTATAGTACAGTGGTAATTAATGTTCCCAAGGTTAGTCACCATATATAAATAATTGCTTTCTGCTAAGTATAGGAGTAGAATCCTATGTCTAAAATTTGAACACTTACCAAATTAATAGAGAATAAGCTCTATTATCTGACATTGGGACTTTTGCAGATCTATAGTACAGTGGTAATTAATGTTCCCAAGGTTAGTCACCATATATAAATAATTGCTTTCTGCTAAGTATAGGAGGATTTTAGCATGTTCTAAACCTCTGCACACTGAAAACCCTGGTGGGACACATTTGGAAATTTTAATGGTTGACAAAAACATGCCATTTCCCAACAATTTATAACTAAGGATCTGAAGTGGTCAGCTCACCTGAGTTGGTTGGGTGCTGTTCTTTAAGGAGGTTGGGGACTTGCTCATGAAATCTCAGTGCCTGTGTTTAAATAAAGCAAAGGCTGCAAATGTCAAACTCCAGTGAGTTATTAGGTGAGGGAAGTTGCGGTATAGGGAAGAATGTATCTTTACCATCTAAATTTAAAAAACTCAAGGTTTTATGTAAAACCACATTAGAATGAACAAGGGTCCCGTTGAAGGTTTCTGAAAGCAGATTTCCAGTCATGAAAATTAAATTCCTTTCTATGTTGTCCTGGTGCTTGGAGGTTGACTTTTTAAGATGAATGCTGGTTAATAAATTGTGCTATTAATGTGGCACTGTTGTCACTGCCTCCTTTTAATGGGCTTGCTGATGAGAGTTTTCCTCTTCCTTAGGAAATCCGCCAGCCAGAATATAAAGTGTGTTTTAATATCATCCTGTTAATATTTCGGGAATTTGTAACCAGCTGACTGTTCTCTTTATTGCTTTCCTTTCCTTTTTTTTTTTTTTCCTTTTCTTTTCTTTTCTTTGCAGGCAGAGATTGTCAAGAGGCTGAATGCTATCTGTGCACAAGTCATTCCTTTCCTGTCCCAAGAGGTAAGGCAGTTGGTTTCAAGCATTGGGCTGGAAGGTACCATTTCAGTGGTTTTGCAGATAAAACTGACTCCTTGGCCTCGTCTGTCTCTTGGTGTTTGTATTGCACATTTCTAAGATACAGTGTTCGCATTCCAACTTCTACACCTTATTAACATTCAGTGGAATATAATTGTGTTTATATAATGGAGTATTTTCTAATGTGCTAAGCAAAATTCAGTTGTTAAATCTTTTGCTGTCATTGGACTATGTAGTGTTGCTCAGAATTATGACTTTGTCATAATGGTATCTAATAGGGGAGATTGAAAAATTGCCCAGAAGACAAGAGCGTGTTCTATACTTTTGTCACTGGGCATTAAGAGTTGCCAGAAGATATATCAAAAAGCCTTTACAGAGTAAACAAACTGATGTAACTTTTGGCTAGCAACTTCTAAAAAGTTACTTCTCATTACCTGATGAAGTCTTTATATTGTGGGTGCATTTGGGAAAAAGACACGAAAGATGGACTCAGTGGACTCATTTCTCTGAGTACCACAGAATTCACGCCTCGCCAAGCCCCCACGTGCAGCTCACTTTGCTTTCTTCTGCTCCCACTAGTGGAAGTGTGCACGCTGCCCACAGGTGCATACATGGTGGAATGAGGAGGTGCATTTCTAGTGCATGGTGGCTTTTTTTTTTTCCCCCCCTCCTCTGCTTGCTTGCTTGCTTGGTTGCTTGCTTGCTTGCTTTTAGTAGTTACAAAGTTCAGGTGCACCAGCTGGAGAGAGAGAGATTTTGCTTCTGGACTACTGAATCCCTCATTTGCTCAGGTAAGGTCAGCTGTGAGAAGGAAGAAGCTAATAAATGGAATAGCTGCACGTCTTGCAGCCACAGTGCTTGGTGTTGTGGGCTGGAAGGCACCGAGGCACTTCCCTCCTTCCCTTCAGTTGTGTCACTGCTTTTCAGGAGAACGGTTCACCCGCCTGCCTGCCAGTGGGCATGCGCTGAGGTTAGCATGCAGCCGGTATTTGAGCGTTCATGTGTGTTATAGATATGTGGATCCCTATCTGACTTCTTATCTGGTCTGAGCTGGGTTAGACCTCAGTAACCATGAGGAACTTTCAGGGGAATATATCCTTTGGGGGCGCTCATATTCACAAACCGTGAACCTAAGTTAATATCCTGAACTCAAATGCTCTTCTGGATCACAAACAACAAAGGATATCTTTCTCGTCCTTTAGCTGTGACCACAAAACCACCACCCACTATATTCCCATTTACCTATTTCTACTCATGATTTGCTTGTTGACTAGATTACATGGAGTGCTGAAGGAGAGTCAAGGGGCCTGTTTGCATTTCTTTAGGAAGTCTGGCTGCCCTTTGCCTGATCCATACCAGCGTGTATTTCTTCTTACTTTAAGCAGCTCTGCTTTATGGAGGTGGTGAATGGGAAGAATGTGTAACCCACCATGCTGTGACCAGGCTGAGGTGTTGTTCCCCAAGGCAGAGGGAAAAGTTTGAATTTTCCCTGGGGTGGTATTAGATTTTAGGCTTCTGAAGACACAGACTCCTACACATAATCACCAGTACAGCTTATTCCCATGGCATTTTTGCAGGATCTGTGGGGTTATGTTCAGATGTGGGAGAAGATCTTGGGGTGTTGGTGGAGCTAGCTGATTTGCCAGTAGGTCGTTTTCCCACGTGAGCTATGTTGTTTGCGTGAGCAGGCCTGGTAGGAACCGACTATGTAATGGTAGTGGTGCTGAGCAAGACTGGACTGGAATTAATTGGCTAAGGAAGTCGCACCCTGTGGAGGAAAGCCGTGGGGAGGTACTGGCAACTCCTTTTCTGCCTTAAGCTGGGAGGATAGGCACCATAATCTCACTACTTACTGTTTATTTCCCCAATACTTTTGACATTTCTTGGTTGAAATCCTCGACATGTGTAATGGATGACCTGTGTCATGGTTTTCTAAATGCTGATGCTGTGTATATCTTTTCTTCTTGCTTTGGATTTAATTGGCTCTTCTGTTTTTTAGTTTCCTAAGGTGTGTGTATATCTTTTAATGTGTGGGCAACAGACATGTTTGTTGCCCCGTCCAGTCCGGGCCTCTCAGGTGTTTTGTGTCTGAACGCTGCCCATCTTGTTTCCTCTTCTGGGCTTTCTGTGAGCATCGCACTACTTGCCTCTACCCTGAGGCAGATGGACTGTAATTTGGAGGGAGGGCAGGAGGCAGGTTATTAGAGGAAGATGAATTCTATTTCCTGTCTCTTCAGAGACATGCAAAATCACTGTTGCATGGCTGCAAGCGTCACTTGGTGCTAGGACTGAAGGCTCTTAATCTGATCTTTTAACACTGGCTCTCTGTGTGACAGTCTCACTGCCAGAAGGGCAGCTGTGGCATTAGAATTTATTTTAAAATATTTTTATTTAAAAGATAAATGATTGTATTTAGAAAAAAGAAAAACATTTCTTGAAGACTAGTGCATAAGCTACAGGACAGTGGTTGGAGGGGTTTTTTGGAGTTTGGCAGGAACAAGAAGTAAATTTACAGACATCTAGTTAAGTCTATTTTTAATTTAGCTCCCATGTGCTGACTAATGTACCTGCTTAATATTGCTTGTGTCTAGTGTACCACAGTTTCTAAAATTAAAAAAATATGTACTGAATGACAGCTGTTGAACAAATTTAGTTTTAACTGCAAGACCTTTTTGGGGGAAGTAAGTTGTATAATTGTACCTCAAGGACTCGAAGTGTGTCTATGTATGTAACATCAGAGAAAAGTATTTTCCTATTAGATTTCACCAAAACACTTTAAAAAATTAGAGCCAATATCTGTTTTAGTGATGTGCTTGTTGCACTTGTGTACAACTGCTTCCAAAGTTCCAGGCATTAAACAGAGGTATTGCCAACTCTTTTCATTAAGTGAGTAAGTGTCACTTACAGTTCTTAAAATTTCACAGGATCCTTGAAATCAGGATTTAGAGAAACCTAGTGAGTGAGTCCTCACCTGTCTGAAGCTGTTCTTCTCTCCCACTTTCTTTTGGCTTCTAGGGATGGGTAAGACTTTTCGGAATTCTGCTGCCCTCAGATTTCTTCTGTAAAAGGCAAATCTCAAAGCAGTAAATGGGAAGTTCTTCTCTGTCTCACTTCAGGTCTCATTTGCTGAGGAGGAACTATAACCAACTTCCTGTTGGCAGTTCCCTAAGCAAGAGATGGCCAGGGATGATGACAGGCACATCTGGGTCGAGTCCTGGCTTCCCTGTTACAAATTGCATGGCTCATTATAACCTAGTTAAGCTGGGTGACCTTTAGCAAGTGATTTGCCTCTTTAAGCCTCAGTTTCCTCATCTGTAGGATGAAGTTAATAATAGCATGGAACGCATATGATTGCTGTGAGGATTCCCTGGGATTGTCTGGTGCAGCTTAGCACATAGTGACCAGTGGCTCCTGAGGTTGACTGGCAGTAGTACTAGCTGCAGCAGCAGCAGCTGAGAAGCCCAGGGTTCCCTTCTGAGAGGACCTGGAGCCAGCTCTCCCTCCCCTTTCTAGTCGTTGCCCTTTGGAAGAGTGTGTATTGTTTACCTTCCTCTCTGATGTGCTTATAGGGGAAAAAAGTATCAATTAAAACAACCCAGGGCTGTGAACTAGCTAAAAATCTCCATGAGGCATGTTAGGTAGCCTCAAGGGTGATTCTCTTCTAGCTCCCAAAATTAATTTTCCAATTTAGCAAACGCCCGTCTCTCCCCAACCAGCAAAAGCAAAGATCCAGAACATGACAGCTCTTCGAGGTGTTCACGCTGTAGAGTTCGCCTCGGAAGGCACAGTGATTTTGGATGGGGTCTGTGTTCTACACACATTGCGATCTAAAAAAACAAATTTCTCAGTCTAGTTGGGGGACTGGCTGTTTTCAAAGTACCTGGTGGCTTAGTTGGAGTTAGTTTTGTTTTTACAAGTAGTTTGTGTGCATGGGCTCTGTATCAGCGATTTCAGGATATAGCATGTAGACTCTTAGACCTTAGTGAGCACTCAGCAGAATTGAAGGATGCCAGTAAGTACTGACTTATCTCCAGTGCCCCCCAGCCCCCCTTTCCAGGAACATACCTTTAGGGCGATTCTAATGTAGACTGAAAACCATGCACCACTTGTTAACACCCTGGCAGCAAGGCACAGTGTTCCTGCTAACTTGGAATCAGACCAACTCTGCATCTTGCTGGCTTTATATTGGGAAAGTTGATCTGTGAGTTGTAATACTCCTGTAGATGGTGAGAGTAACCCCATTTTTACAGTGTTTACTATATGTATTAAAATGTAAAGCACTTCGGATAGTAGATGCCAGTTTTTGTTGTTGTTGTTTTTAACCTTTTCTGGGAAATGAATTTTATTCCAGCTTATTTTGGGTCCCAAGACATTTGGAGAGGAGGGAGGGACTCGGTAAAAAACTGGGAAGAGTTGAAGGTCAGATTTGTGAATGGGCGGGCTGGCTGGCGGTCTTCCTGTGAAATAAGCTAGGCTCGCAGCTCCAGGGGCTGCTTGCAACAGTGGGTGGTTAGCTGCACACAGATGATCTTTCAGAAGGGCAGGAATATTTAATTTTGGGGGAAAGCCTGTAAGTATTGTCTTATCCTGTTAGATTAAGCATTAACTAAATGTTGGGCACTAGCTGAGGGTCTTACTTAGAGGACAGTTGTGCTTTTTGTACTTCTTTTTCCCTTGGGTTATAAAATAGTTTATTTTTGAAATGGGCAGGGTATGGTTTGTGGTGACTGACAAGGTTTTCTTAAGACGTGTGAGAACTTCAGACCCCTAATAGGCTGTAGGTCATCGCGTAATGTATTACACGATGGTGACGTATTACGTGATAATTTAAAGTCGTCTTTCCTCAGAGTACCCTTTGTATTTTTCAGAAACTTGTTGCTCCCCTAACAAGGAGGAGAGTTCATTGGAAGAGTTATGCTGCGTGTGAGGCAGGGTGATAAGAGCCTGAGGTTGGGCAGACTTGGGACCAAATCCTGGCTTAGCCA